CGCGTTTCAGTATATCCTCGACTCCCTCCCTCCCCCTCCCCCCTTCACCTCCCCTCTCCTCGTATCTTTCCTAAATTTGAGTGATGGCTGATGGGGAAGAGGAGGAGGAGGAGGAGGAGGAAGAGGAGGATGAGGAGGAGGAAGAGGAAGAGGAGGAAGTGGGAGGAGATGGAATAGGGGGATTAAGGGAAGGAGGAAGAGGAGAAGGAGGAAGAAGAGAAGGAGGAAGAGGGAGAGGAGGGAAAAGAGGAAAAAGAAGAGAAGGACGAAGAGGGGGAAGAGGAAGGGTAGAAGCACGAAGAGGAGGAGGAAAAGGAGAAGGAAGAAGAGGAGGAGGAAGGGGTAGAAGGATGGGGATGTGGGGGATAAAAAAAGGCGTGGATGTGATAATGAAGCTAAAAGAGAAAGTTAAGAAATAGATTTAGATAAAATAAATAAAACATAAAAACCCTCACTAAATATTCCCCAATGCAATGAAATCTTCCCACATTCAAAGAGCAGCCACAAAAAACGCGAGTCATTCCCGCACCATAAAAAGTTAATATCGACCTTTTTTATCTATTTTCACTTTTATTTATTTATCATTATTATTATTATTATCATTATTATTGTATTTTTATTATTATCTATTATTATTATTATTATTATTATTATTATTATTATTATTATTATTATTATTATTAATATTATTATTGTTATGATTATTATTTTTGCAATAAAGTTCTATAACCAACAAGAAGACGCAGTTGTTTGGGATATCATAAACACGTTTGGACTTGAGAGGACTCGGAGCGACAAGTGAAGCCCCGACAACTGGCTTTTCCCCGACTGCCTGAGGGGGAAGCTTAAAAGGGGGAAGGGGAGGAGGGAGGGGAAGGGGGGAGGGAGGGAGGGGAGGAAGGGAGGGAGGAAGGAGAGAGTAAGGGAGGGAGGGAGGAAAGGAGGGAGAGAGGGAGATAGTAAGGGATGGAGGGAGGGGGAGGCGGGGATGGGAGGGAAGGAGGATGGGAGGAGGGAGGGAGGGGGAGGGGGAGGGAGGGAGGGAGGGAGGGAGGGAGGGAGGAGGAGGGAGGAGGGAGAGGGAGGGAGGGAGGGAGGGAGGGAGGGAGGGAGGGAGGGAAGGAAGGAGGGAAGCGAGGAAGAATTGAAGGAGGAATAGAGGAGTGGGAAGGATGGGAGGGAGGGAGGATGGGATGGGAGGAGGGAAGGAGGAGGGAGGGAGTGAGTGAGTGAGTGAGGAAGGGAGGAAGGAAGCGAGGAAGTATTGAAGGAGGAAGGGAGAGAGACAGAGAGGGTGGGAGGAAGAGGCTGAGGAAGGAGGGAGATATGGAGGAGGAAGGTGGTAAGAGGGGGACATAAAGAGGAAGGAAATGCAGGGGTAGGAAGGAAGGTATGAAGGAAGGAGAGGAAGGAAAGGAGGAAGTTTAAAGGGAAGTGAGAAAAGAGGGTAGAAAGAGGGAGGGGAGGTGGGTGAGCACGGAAGAGAACCTCCAGAAGCTCACCCTTCACCCTCCACCAACACCTCATCCCCCCCTCATCCCTATCCCCACCTTCCCCTCCTCCCCCCTCCTCCTTCCCCGCCACGCCTGCAGCAACCAGCCTCCCAGTCAAAGCGAAGAAGGCGGCGCTACAAGCCAGACTGCCTCCAACTGACAGCAAAGTTATGGAACTTGTAGCCTCCATCTTGGTAATCCGACCGACTTGGCTGTAGTTTTATGACCGGAGGAACTCGTGGGGTGATAGTGAGGGTGAGAGAGAGGGAGGGAGGGAGGTGAGAGAGAGAGAGAGAGAGAGAGAGAGAGAGAGAGAGAGAGAGAGAGAGAGAGAGAGAGAGAGAGAGAGAGAGAGAGAGAAAGAGGAGAGAGAGAGAAGAGAGAGAGAGAAGAGAGAGAGAGGAGAGAGAGAGAGAGAGAGAGAGAGAGAGAGAGAGAAAGAGAAGAAAAGAAAAGATAAGAGAGAGAAAGACAAAGAGAAAGAGAGAGAGAGAGAGAGAGAAAGACAAAGACAAAAAGAGAGAGAGAGAGATGAACAATAAGACAAAGAGGGGAAGAAACGAAGACATCCGGAGCAGCGTAATAAAGGTCAGTGGAAGGAAGAAAAAGGTCAGAGGAACTTCAAGAGACTTCAACGAGGAAAAGGGTCTAAAAAAACTACCGAAGGCGAGAGACGCAAGGTGATGAAGAGCGAAACAAAGAATAAGAGGAAAAACGAATAGAAGAGTAAAGAAATCAAGCAAATAGAGACAAGTACAACGAGACGCAATAAAGGAATATTCCCAATTAAACTTAATTCAGAAAAGAGTTAAAATAACGAAAAACAAAAGCAAAAACAAAAATCCTTCATAACAAACCCAATAACCTTAATCATAAAAGAGACACGACTTCATCTCTAAACAGCACGGCATCGAAATACAACAACAACAACAACAAAAGGTGATCTGGTAACGAATGAAGACGAAAAAGGACAATAAATAACGAAGTGAGATGAAGAGATGTCTCACCTTGGGTCTGGGAGGCTGGAGAGGCAGGCGAACCCCACGCTGACTTGTAACTCGGATCTGAAAGAGGAGGAAAATGGTGTTAATTCAGCACAAATGCGTTTTCTTTGCTTTCTTTTGTGGTGTATGGGACTGTGAGGTATGCGTTTTTAAGATAAAAGGGTGCTGGGTTGGGTGGTATTGGGAGTAATAACGTTTGTGTGCGTGTGTCTGTGCGTGTGTATGTGTGAGAGAGAGTGTTTGTGTTTCTGTGTGTGTGTGTGTGTGTGAGAGAGAGAGAGTGAGTGTTTGTTTGTGTGTGTGAGAGAGAGAGAGTGTTTTATGTGTGTGTGAGTGTGTGTGCGTGTGCGAGTGCGAGAAAGAGTGTTTATGTATGTGTGTGCGTGTGTGTGTGTGTGTTTGTATGCGTACGTGTGTATGTATATGACTCTTACTTCAACTTGCATGTGCCTACGCATATGTATCTACGCATGTGTATGTACGCGAGTGTGTACGAACGCATGTGCACGTGCGCCATCACACAGGTGAGAGAGAACCACCTTCCGTGTGCGCATCTGTCCTTCCCCGCGTGGACGTGCACGTACCCCGAGACACACAAAGCAAGGGAGAATCATTATTAAAGGAGATACTATTTCACGCCCCGCACGCCTCTCACATGCAAATCACGCGGCAGATAATGACATTCTTGCAATACAGGAAAGGCAATTCCCGCAAATGTGCGTCTGGCTCGAATTCGCAATAAAATCACTTAAGATAGATTAGTAAACATCCTTTCAATTACGGGAGAAATATTGCTCAAACCTTAACCAAATTTTTGTTGAGATTTCTGCGAGAGTAAATTATGTATGCAACATCCGTTCGAGGAGGTGAGGACGAAGGATGACTGAGAGAGAGAGAGAGAGAGGAAGAGAGAAAGAAAGAGAGAAAGTGGAGAGAGACGAAGGATGACTGAGAGAGAGAAAAGTGGAGGAGAGGACGAAGGATGACTGAGAGAGAGAAAAGTGGAGGAGAGGACGAAGGATGACTGAGAGAGAGAAAAGTGGAGGAGAGGACGAAGGATGACTGAGAGAGAGAGCGAGAGAGAGAAAGAGCGAGAGAAAGCGAGAACAAGAGCGAGAGAGAGACAGAGGCAGAGAGAGGAGAAAAACAAACGATACATATATTATATATTACTGAACACATAGCAGAATACAATACCAAAAATAATAATAAACCCAAGTACTTTGACGTCAACAAAACAGACCATCCCTTCTCCCTCCATATCCATAATTCATAAGTAAAAAAAAAGAAAAAAAGAAAAAAACGAAAAAAGAAAAAGAAAAAAAAGAAAAAAGACTCAACAGCGCGCGCGTAATCCATTTAACACGCGTCAGTGGGAATCGAATCCCTTTTAAAAAAACTTGAACGCCAGATAGCAGAATACTTTGGTGTGAGTGTTCATCTTGTTGTTTTCCTTATAGTTGGTGGTGTCTTATGTCATTTATACTTTTGATGCTGTTGTTGTTGCTTTTATAAGTGTTTTTGTTGTTATTGTTGATTGTCGGTGTGAAAATGGAAGGAAAGATCAGAAAATGCGGATAATTAACGAAATGGAAAGGGATGAAAATACATCACAAAATGGGGAGAAATAATGAGATAATGAAACGAAAAGAAGAAGATTGGGTAATTAATTAGCTAACGAAACCAACGAAATATAATTACAGAAATGAATCAAATTTATGTGGTTCTATTGGCGTTAAAACAAAGAAATAGATTGACAAAAATAGATAAACTGTTACATAAACGGGTAGATAAAAGGTATTCACGAAATAAGGAAACGGAAAAGACAAGATATAAGACTGGATCATAAAAAATAATAACAATAACAACAAGAACAAGAACAACAACAATGGTGATAATAAAAGTAACAATAATAACAGTAGTAGTATTAATAATATTAACAGTAATAGTACTAATAGTAGTAGTAGTAGTAGTAGTAGTAACATTAGTAGTATTATTAGTAATAGTAGTGGTAGTAGTAATAGTAGACTAGTAATAGTAGTACTAGTAGTAGTATAGCAGTGGTAGTATTAGTAGAAACAGTAATTATTATGATAAAAAAATAATAGTAATAGTAATAATGATAATAGTAATAATGATAATGATAGCGATAATATGATGATGATGATGATGATGATGATGATAATAATGATAATAATAATCATGATAATAATAATCATGATAATAATAATAATAATAATAATAATAATAATAATAATAATAATAATAATAATAATAATAATGATAATTATAATAATAATAATAATAACTATATATTATTATATTATGATCAAAATAATAATGATAACAATGATGATAATAATGATAACCAGAATAATAAAAATAATAATAATAGTAAATATAACAATAACAATAATGATGATATCTGTAATAATAACAACAGCAACAACAGCAACAATAATAATGATAATAACAATAATGATAATGAAAAAAATGAAAAAGATAATGATAATAATAATGATAACGATAATGATAATTATAATAATAATAATAGTAATAATGATAATAATAATAATAATAATAATAATAATAATAATAATAATAATAATAATAATAATACAATAATAATGACAACGATAATAATAATAGTAATGATAATAGTAATGATAATAATAATGATGATGATAGTAATGATGATAATGATAATAGTAATAACAATAACAATAATGTTGATAATGATAATAACAATGATAATAACAACAACAATAGCAATAGCTATAATGATAACAATATGATAAAATTATATTATGTAAATAACCATAATAAAGTAATAACGAAAATGAAAAGAATATTATATCATCAAATGACCTCACCAACGGTGATTAAATTGATGATGTTAAAAGACAATTGAAATGATAATAATGATAATGATAATAATAGTAGATGAAAACCATTACTATGCCATTATTGTATAACACTGGTAACGTAATGATAATAATGATGTTAATGATAAATGATAGAAAGGATAATTTCACTGATAATGATAATAATGATCATAACGATAATAATAAAAATTATTATAACAATAATGATAGTAGTAGTAGTGGTAATAGTATTATGATGGTAATAATAATGATGAGGATGATAATAATGATAATGATAATAATAATAACAAAAATGAAAATAATGATAATGATATTAATGATAATAATGATAATAATGATAACAATAATAATGATAATAATAATTATAATAATATCAATAATGATAATCATAATAGTTGTAATAATAACAATAATAATAATGATAATGATAGTAATAATATTGATAATAATGATGCTACTACTAGTACTACTACTACTACTAATAATAATAATGAAAATAATAATACTAACAATTATGTCATTGTTAATAATAATGATGATAATAGTAAAGATAATAATAATAATAATAATAATAATAATAATAATAATAATAATAACTAATGGAACAATAACCAAACAACTGCAACAACAATAACAACAATAGTAAAGATAATGACAACGTAAGTAAAAGATGATAGCCATTCAAATGACAAAACAGAAAAGTAATAAAAGTAGGAATAAGGATAATAATAACGATAAAAATAGTTAAGATAGAAACAATAACAAGAAGAACAATGATGCTAATTGTAATGGTAATCATGCTAATTGCAATGATTGTAACAACAACAAGAACAATATTAATAATAGCAATCTGAATAAGGTGATGATGATGATGATGATGATGATGATGATGATGATGATGATGATGATGATGATGATGATGATGATGATGATGATGATGATAATAATAATAATAATAAATAATAATAATAATAGTAATAATAACAATAATAATAACAATAATAATAATGAAATGATGATGATGATAATAGTGATAATATCAATGATAATAATAATAATAATAATAATAATAATAATAATAATAATAATAATAATAATAATAATAATGATATTAATAACAATAATAACAATGACAATATTCATGATAATAACAAATGAGACAAAGGTGATTATGGCAATAATAATAACAACATCAACAAGAAAAACAACAACAATAATAATAATGATGATGATAATAATAATAATAATAATAATAATAATAATATAGTAATAATATAAAGATAATAATAATAATGATAACAAGAATGTTGATAATGATGACCTTACTAATAATAGTGATAATGATAATAATAATGATGATGATGATAATAAAGATAAAAGTAATAAAATAATGATGATCAGAAGGGTTATAATAAATAATAACAATAATAATACCAATAATAAAAAAAGTTTTTATAATACCAATAACAACAGCAATAACGATAATAATGATAAAGCAACAACAACAACACCAATAACATCAACAGCGAGAACAAGAACATCAATAAAGAACAAGAGCAACAGAGAACATTCACGAGAACAACTGAGCCAGCGCCAAGACCCGTGTTCTTCGCCCCGCCCTTAAGCATTAACAACCGGAGCAATATGGTTGTGAGCGAAACAACGTTAACGAACTGCGACGAATTCGGGTTGGGGGGGGAAGGGGGGAGGGGTGGAGGAGGGGAAGGGGGGGAGGGGTATAGAACACCCCCCCACTACTCTCTCCTCCCATTCCCCTACCCCTCCTACCCTCCCCCCCCCCTTCCTCTTCGCCATCAACGACAACAACAAAGGGGAAGAAAAAAAGGGAGAGAACGAGAGGGTGATAATAGATAAAAAGGGAGATAGAAGGGAGAGGAGATTATGAATGGCGTTCTTTATCACGAGGGCGAGAGCGAGGTTTCCCCGACGTGGCTGACACCCGCGGATGACGAGGCGGGGGAAAGGGACTCGTGAATGCGTTTTAACAAAGCGTGGCGGATGGATTTCCATGGCGGCGGCGGCCGGCGGCGCGGCGGCGACGGCAAGGGTAGCGGGAGGAGAGGAGCCGGGAAGGGCGCGCGGGTGAGAAAGGGAGCT